GGTGAATTAAGCATAAGGGATAGTTTAGAGGGGCACTGAGGAGGCAAGCACCCAGCACACCTCACAGCCCCAGCTCTGGCACCTTTAAGGTGTTTTGGGGGATCCTTTAGGTATAAAACATATTTATGAAACACAAAAAAATCCAACAAGACAAAATACAACAACACATTAGAATGGGAAGGCTGATGGATCTAGCTTTAGGGCTGACCTTGATTTGGGTATTTTTTTAATCACAGGAAGATAACTGAGTAAAAAAAAAATATTCTAAAATTTATACTATTTTAAGACTACCAAAACCAAATGCTTTACAAATTTCAGACTTACAAGGATCTCAATAATGTATGCAGATTTATGTTTTATTTGCAGGCATGACATAAAGGGGATTTAACTCCCTTCAAAGGGGTTTTTCCACTCCCTGTGATGCTTTTTCTGCATGTATTCTGCCAATGTGCATGTGTCCATACAGTAGCAGACACGTTAGACCAGCAGAGTGAAAATCAGACCTTAGATACATTTTTATTTTGTTTCGAGCAATCTAGACAACAGAAGAATTTCAAAGAGAGAAGATCATCTCATTCTGAATACTAACTAGTTAGTTAATTATTAAAATTTCTTTTGAGCATATACAGTTTGGGAATTTATAATATATAGTATATTAAAAAAATATTTTTGTTTGCTAAGGAGGACAACAACCCAAAGTTTTGAATAGTATCTTCCAGGTGACTGCTCACTCCTCTGAATATAAAAGATATGTATTCAGAACTTGCAACGAAAATATTTGTGAGAACTGACTTTTATAATTTAAGGAATAATTTTTATGATAATTTTAATAAATGGATGATTGTTTAAAAGCAAAATCATGCACAAGATTTCAGGGTCATATCCTCTTCTTTTTCATATACTTTTTAAATACTTTAAACTTTTTTTTAAGTTTCCCTTTCTGCAAGAATTTTCCTTCCCTATAATCAGCTGAAGAGCTGTATTTCTGAAAAATATGAGGAGAATCTATTTATCATTTTGCATAAATTAATAAAACGACAAAAGTTGATTAATTAATACAACTTCTTGGCCACATACAACTCCAAAAGTCCTTATATACACAGAATTCAACTTCCTTGTATGGTTGGTCAAGAGCTACCTTAAATCTGATTTTTGATGATTCTGTAGTTGTTGTTTCTAGAGAAGTAGAGAAAACATTTAAAATAATGACAAATAACAGAAAATCTGGCACAAAGTATAGAATGTGTATATAAGTAAACATATAAGTATAGAACCTTCACTGAAGTAATGATTGATAACAGGACAGTGGGAAAATAAGTTCATAGACTATTATAAAGGCTGGTTAAATAAAATGTGGGGGTTGCTGTTATGTATATTTATTTTTATGCTTGCCATGTCACCTTCTCTAAGCCTGTGTCATGAACCATGCTCTGTTGTAGTAGGAACAATATGCATGCACAACACAGCAACTCTCTACTCAGTGCTATAAACTTGATTTTCAGATGTTTTAATCCTCCGTGGAAATACACAATTAAGCACATAACAATTTAAAAACAAGAATCTTAATTTCCTATATAAGAATAAATATACAAGAATGAGTAATTATAGTGTACAGCCTGCAAGCTAAAAATACTCCCAAGTCCTAACCTACAGATTGAATTTCACCCAAGATTATAAAAACATAACTTGCACTTATTTCTGAATTTCTGGAAACAACTCAGTCACATACATATGCAAGTGAGAAAGCATAAAACTTCATCTTTTAAAGTTCTGGCTTTTGAGGATACAAAGTTTTTTTTCTGTAGAGTTACAAGTGTACTGTTTTCATGAGTATCATTTTTGCCTTTATTTACATCAATGGAAAGCCTTCCATTAGAGGCCAGAATTTTTTTTGTTGATTTTTTTAAAGTTGATTAAATGTCAGTAAGTAAGATGATAGGTCTCTATTTTAAGCTGCTTAATGCACTCCAAAATTAGGAGGAATATTTTCTTTGTAAAATTCTACCATTTCTACTATTTTTGCCGGTCTTTACTTCTCCAAGGGAGAAATCTCTCCCTTTGTGCAAGTACCTTGCTTTTGTGCCTCTGAATTGAAAAAGATGACTTCCTCTCAGCTGTACTTCCCAGGAAAAACACTGGCAGCCTGCCCAGACCCCTCAGCCTTTTCACCATCCCTCACAGCACTCGGATGGGGATGCTGAAGAGCTGATTGACTAGTTATGTTAAGGGGAATCAAGCTATGCTAGAGCCAATGTTCCCTCTCACCTTCCCGACCCAGAAGGTACCACTGGCAGCCCATGTCCCTGACAGGCCAGGAGAACAGGCACTCCTCTAACTCCAACCACACAGGGGAAGAGGTAGAGAAAATTACACAGCTGAGCTGGCATTCCTAGGACTCAGCATCTTATTTCAGCTCTAAAGCAGTAGCTCCCTCAAACTCCACATAAAGAGAGACACTCAGACCAGTCAGAAGCCCAGGCATCACCTTTAAACCCAGGCTGTGGCTCTAGTAGCCAGCACTCCTCTTCTGGGACAGGAAAACATCACCTCTCAACACTGAGGACAAGGTGGGCACTGAAATCCATCTCTTCTCTCTTGTAGGTCTATTACATGATACCAACACTTCAACAATCTCCTAAAGAATAAACCTTCTCCTGCAGCTGGATTGTCAGCCCTGTAGCTGCAGCGATTGAAGACAAAGCAAAATCCTTTGGGTTCAAGCTCAGTTTATGGCAATATGATACAAAAAATAACCTGTCCTCTAAATAAAATTTAAATGGCAAAATACAGAAGATGATACTAAAATAAAACAGAACACCATTCATACTGCTAACAAGAAAATTAAGATTAATAAGCACCTTTTAGTGGCTGTGCAGACAAAGAATTTAGTCATTGGAATACACATTATGACCGTTCATGATACAATCATATGTTTTTACACTGAGCTTCTAGCTCACTCACTTCACAAGTTAAACTTGAAAGGAGCTGAAATAAATTCTCAGAGCAAGTCTAAAGTTTCCGTCCCTGAACTTCAGTTGATTTTGTAACCCAAATAATATTATTGCAATGCATTTTTACATGATTGCAATCTACTTTTACATAAATGTATTCCATGTTTCTTCTGGTAAAAAAAAAAAAAAAAAAAGAAAAAGGAAAAAAAAAGCTGTCTAAAATAAAGCCAGACAAGCATGAAAGCTCCCATACCAAGGTCAAAGGGACTGGATATGAATATCTGATTAGAGAATTCAACTCTTAACAATGTCTCATCTCTCCAGTAGTTTACTTCAATATTTTCTGTACAGTTAGCAATGTGATTATATTACCACTACACAGCCCTTTGCATCTATAACACTGCCACTTGGTGATCCTGTTACACTTCCACACAGGGAGCCTGGATAAGAAGAAGCCCATCTGCTCTCTTGTTTGCATTTGAAAGTCAGAAACCTTGTGGCCAAAAGCTCTTGCGTCTCCTGGTGCTGACCACATGGTTCCCACTCACCCGTCCACAAACGTCAACAGAAATACATTTCTTCACTGTGGAGAGTGAAGCCTCAGTGGTGGGGAAGGAAGTTTAGGAAAGTTACCATGGAAAAGAGACAGACTTACAGCAAATGAAAATCCACTGTATACTGATATCATCCACCTAAATAGACATCCTTACATCACCGATGTATAATTCATTCGGAAGACTCTTTGTTCCCTCTTCAGTGACTTATTAATGATTCATTAATAATCATTGAGAGTAAGTACAAACAGGTGCAGGAGACATTGCATTCAAGAATATTTTAGTACCAGCTTACTCAACTGAAACTTGCATCTTTACTCTCTGTGTACCAGATGATGAAAACCACGCTGCTGCCCTGAGGCTCCAAGCTGCCACTCACTGGCTGTCTCTGCACTGCAAGATCACAGTCAGCTTTCCTATCGATAAACAAGTCGTGGCAGAAACAACCCATGGTTGTATCCTGGCCTGAGGTATGACATGAGGAAGGGTACTCAGGCTAGAAGGTAGTTGTGCCATGGTATAGCTAGTCCTGACCTGGATATCTGGAGAATCAGGTCTGCACCAGCCCCTAAAGATAAACACTGCCAATTTGGTACATAATCCCCTTACTTTGAGAAACACAAATCACGTCTTTATTTAAAAAATGAAAAGGCAGAAAAAAGCATGTGTTCAAACTGCTTATAAACAAGGCTGAGATACAGTGTCCTGCCTTGGGGAAGCTTTCATTGAGAACTGATCACAGTTCAGAAAATAGCAGAAGAGAAGATCCATCGACATCTGTCTCATCGCTTTTGAACAGATACAATTAATTAAATCAGCATGTGTAGCCCTTTGGGTCAACAAGTAATATATTGTCAGAAGGTTACAGCAGTAACACAGGTACTACCTTAATTCTGGATGCTTAGGTACACTGTAAATTCCTCTATATGTGACAGGTAGTGGGAAACTACAGCAGCTAACAGCTCTGGTCCAGCAAGGTGACTGACAAGCCTCACGCTGCCTCGGTACTGATAGTATCTTCACTGCACAAGGCTATGATACCCCAGCTAATCCACAGCTAAATTCCACAGCACATTCTTTCACCTTGCTTCCAAATCTTACTGTTTGTAAGTTTTGCAAGTGATATAATGCCCACGGGAAATTAAGAAGAAGAAGAAAAAAAAAAAAAAGTCTTTGATAATGTGAACATTTTCTTTCAGTTATGAAAATTTTGAAAAGAAACTAAAACTACAAGAAAGTTTTGTAAAAGAGAAGAAAGATATCCCCATTTTTTTCCCTCAAGGATAAACAAATTCCCAGCATACTTAGCATTTTGACAGACACAGAACAGTTGTATTCCACTTCACAGTGTTGTACAAACACAACAAGGACTGTAGCCAGGCTCTTCCACCCTACAACTCTACACACAAGGAACTGAGGGGGGAAGGCTATTGGAAAATGGCTCTGTGGGATTCTCCCCAGCCATGCTCAGAAAGCAGTTTCCTTATTTCCTTACCCTCTGTTTCCGTAGGCTTCCTGGGCTGGTGGGAGATGGGCTTGGAGACTTCCCAGAGCGGGGAGTAGAAAGCTGGCTACCAGGGGTTCCATTCACTAAAAGGACAATAAAATGAAAAAAAAAAATAAATACAAGGCATTATTAAAAGCAAATAAATAGTTAAATCAAAATAATTCTTTTCATTCTTTGTTGACCGCATAAATTTGCTTTTGCTTAATGTTTTAAACATTAAATAAGGTAACTCACTGAAGAAATGCTTCTTCAGAGTTTTGGCCCGTGAAGTCAATTTTTATACAGAGTGCAAGCAAATAATCAACAAACCTGAAAAGACTGTTTAGTCAATGGCAGAGAACATGGTCACGATTTCTTAAACTATATTGTTCCTGTGCTTGAAGAGGATGGGGAGCAAGGTGCTTTTTTAACCTTAAAAGACACTTGCTATGAGCAAAAAATACAAAGCAGTATTGCTTGCAAGAACAAATCAGCTGCTTGCTGTTCCTCACTCATTCATTGAAGAGATTTTTGCAATACTATCTGACCCAAATATCACCTCCGACTTAACACAGAGGGGCTTTCTAGAGGCAAGTAAACACCTCAAATCTGACTTACAGCACAGCATCCCTTTCTCAAATAAGTAAGTTCCTTCATATGTCAGTGCCTGTCATTTTAGAAGCATCTTTTGCATGCATGTGACATTAGCCGTTAGATTAACAAAACAATACCAGCAGAGGACAGAATTCTACTACAAAGTAATCACACGAGAGGCTATCGATAATGTTCACACTGAAGCACTGATAGATATACTACAAAGCATATATCACATATGTATGTAAATATTCTTAAACAAGCAACTGCCACATCACAGTGCACATTTGTCAGCACTAGGAATAAAAAGGATCGACAGATTCCCAGGTTCTGAGTTTTAGAAGAATATTTACACACTAGGATATCAACGAGGCATTTGACTTACCTTCTATGAGTTCTAACATGGACAAAATCTTACTGTTTAACCTGAGAAGAGCAAGCAGCAAAATTCCTGCTCTGTACTAAGCCAAGCTGTAGCCAAAGTGAGAAGCAATGGGATTAGTTAAGGCTAGCTGGGGCTGTTCACAGAGTGAGCCGAACGCGATGCAGGATTCATAAGCAGAAGCCTTTTCTGCGTAAGGCTGACGTCTTCAGAGCAGCAGTGGGAGGTGCAGGTGCTGTCTTAGGGCTACATCAAAGGTGTCAATTAAGCATAATGCTGTTGCTTCACAACGCTGAGCCACCACAACCCCCACTCGCTTTCCACGGAGCCCCGAAAGCCTAAGGAATAGTATATGCTGTGCACTGAATCATAATGAGGTGCCTTTGGGGGCAATAGACCCAATGAGTCATCCAAAAATCAAAATGACAATAACTCTTGTAAAACCTTGGCTGGCTGGCAATCTAGCAAATGTTAATTCCTTGGGATAATACAGCAGGCATTTTTAATAGATTTTTCTTACTTTTTACGTAATACATTGCCCTCACTGGCTAACACTGGGCCCGCACGTTGTAAGGAAGAAACATGTACACCTACCACACACATCAATAAAACATTATCCTGAGTGATAAATAATAATCACTTAACAGTACCTAGTCCTCGGTACTACTAGTGCTCAAATCTCACTTTGTGCAAGGCATTGTTTAAGATAAAGGTGCAATATATTTGTATAACCACAGGAACAATATACACTAATTGGATTTAAATAGGCTGCTTTTTTACAAAGCCATTCCACTCATTAGGCTTCCAACTCTCTTTGTACAGAGGACAATGGTTTGCACATATCTGCACTGATTTAAACGTTGTACTAAGTGTGTAGGAGCAAGCACATGCATATGGACACTTACACTGAAGTTCATATAGTATTCAAGCAAAACACCCCACAGATCTGGCCAATAATGACTAAAATCAAACTTATTACCAATAATTCAGAAATCATTCAGGAAAAGCGTAAGATGAGGACATTAAAAATGAGCTTTTCAGAATCTCAAACTTCTAAAGTTTTAAAGGGCTTCTTATAAATGAATATGCTATTATTTAGAAACTAATTTCAAACTACTACTATTCACATGGAACTATTCCTCAAGACTGCTGAACAACAAGACTAGTGTTCTTCCTTCTCTTTAAACTAGGCAGACATCCTTAGATCTTATTATTATGAGAACATTTAAGATAACAGATACACTTTAATAAACCTTGTAGCGCTGGGTACAAGTTCCTGTTCCTTATAGATTGACTCCTTCCCCATAACATTCAACAATACTTTTTCTTGCAAGTACTATTGCAATTACTCTATCCTGAAGACAAAGACTTGAGGCTACCAAGTAGAACCAGTGAAGTACCAGGATTTAACTCCCAGCCCTGAATGAGGGCTGGCATATGGATGATGTCCAAAACCAGGCAAGAAAGACCCTCCTGATTGGCTTTCACCCAGGGTCTGGACAGCCTTGGGTGGGAACTGATGAGGAGATCACCACCAGGTGCCCCCACCTTCCACATTAACTTGGAGGTGGGGCAAGAAGCCACCTCTGTAAGAACTGACTCTGCTTGCAGGGGAGTTTTGAGGTTTGTTCATACAGTGCGTGTGCTCTGTGGGAATTCTGGTTATTGAATGGGCTTCCTGACTCTTCATAGCAAGTGGAGTTCCCAGGATGACAGGGCCAGAACATGGAGCTGTCTCTGGGCCCCTGTTATATACCTGAACATTCCACTTCCGACTCCAATTTCTTGTGAATCACTATAGTGAATTTGCAAATAGAGTTGCCATTACGTGTGATGTAGCAGGAAGAGAGTGGACTGATTCTGACCCCCTTCCTGAACTCCATTTACAATCACACCACCGTTCTTACATATGCCACTCATAACCAGATAACATGGCAACAAATGTCAATAAAATCTGTAATATTTAATAATGATGAATTCCTGATAAATACAGGAATATAGTCTAAACTGCCCTAAAATCCATTTCTAGGCAGAATGCACTGTGGTTGGAAACTGTCCCTGTCCAGTATCTGCACTGCATGTCTCACTGACTGATGCAGCACATGTTCCTACAGGGAACCTTGATGTAGATAAAGACATAGGAAATTGGTAAATCATTGTTGTGATTAATCATGTTATTGAGTGAGGGAAGAGGTTTCTTGCCACTTTTTATTCATAAAATAGCAGGGTTTAGAGACTTCAGTTTAACACACTGTGCCCTCCCATTGTCCATGAAAAAGATTTATCTGTTCAAAATTTCACGGGTGAAATATGTATTGAAAAGCTAAAACAATAACAAGACCGAGGTTGCTCTGAGCAGACGTGTGCATCTGCTTATCTGTGAACTCCTTTCCTTACTGTTCTCTCTTGCTGAGGATGCACAACAGGGCAAGAATCCGTCTTTGTTTTTCCAGCACCTGGCGTACATGTGGAGGTAGAAACCCCCAAATAGAACACAGAACCCCAAATAGAACACAGAACTAAAGCTGGATACCATTCTCTACTGGGACAAACAAAATAGATTTTTGTATGATGCTGTTTACAAAGTAGCAAAAAAAATGCAAATAAAAAGTACTTTGATGGCATTCCAGCAAATAAGTTTTGATAGGGCACCTTTTTATTATGTAATAAACCCAAAAAGTAAGAAAAGCTGAATTCAAGTATCAAGTGCCAGTCTGAGATGCTGCCAATGCCTTTTAACCATATCAAAATCATACTCTTCTATAAAAAAGCCTATGGATGTGTTAGCATCTTGTACATTAGAAATGCCGGCAGAAAGGCTCACCCTCAGGTCAGGTTTACATTCCCATCTCAGGAGCCACCAACACGTGAATCCCTGGAAGCCACTGGTACCTGTGGTAGCCACACAACGTAACACAACCAGTCCAGACCTCAGCAGGGACTGTAGACCCCACACATGCTCAGCCCATGATGATCTACATGGAGTGACCCCCGTGATAGCACTTTTATCTCAACCTGAAGTTAGCCATGTCCATTCTATCAAGCAGACATGCAGATATTGCAGACATGCCCAAAATCTAAGAAGACAGGAGGCTCTCTTGAAAATACCATTCCCTGGAATCCTTTTTGTAGTATCAGAAGGTAAGTGCCCCTTGTTTTTTTCCCTGCACTTCATCAAAGTAGAGCTGATATCTATGGTCAGTTGTTGCTAATTTTGTGTAATATCTAACTGAGAGAGTATCTACATGTACGTAAGATTTAATGAAAATCTCTCTTTAGATCTGTTTTGTCTAACTGGAAAGACTCAGATTGTCAAATCAATCTGTGTGAACAGAGTACCAACTCTGAGGATTTTTCTTCACTTAGCATTTAACATTTTAATCCTTTAGGAGGGTTAAACTGTTCAGCCTAACCAAATCTATTTCTCTTACTAACTCTGGATTTTTGTTACATATTATAAAATGATAAAACTTAATTTTTTTTAATGATTAGTACCAAATACAAACACCATAAATATAAAATCAAAAGGAAGCCAGGATCAAAGTAAAAATCATCCGGAAATCCCTGGGTCCGTAGGCTGACTCCATGGCTCCCATGGGCTTGTACTCTTGGCTTCAGGAAAGTTTCACTTCAGCATATTTGTTACAAAATCTGTCAGCTGAGTACCTATAACAGTGTGAATAACAACATGTGACCTCGCCAAAGACAGTGGGATACATCGTGTTCCTTCCTTTGGGATCCAAAAGACTTTCTTGAGTCAGGTGGCTGAGAAGGGGCTGTTTCTGGATCACGGCCAAGGGATGAACTAGCAGACTAAATGAAAACATGTATTCTTGCAGAAGAACATATCTACCTCTTTTTTTTTCTAACTTGCTGAGAAAAGCACAAGCATCTGCTCTAGTGAAGCCTTCAGGATGATCAAATTTCCATATCTTAAACCATTTTTTTCTTTAGAGAACATCTCCAGTTTTGATCAGGCTTTAGCCTGACATGTAGTTGCACCTGGGCAAAGAGCTTGTGCAATTTAAAAAAGAAACACAAACATACAGCCTTTGGTAATGTGACCTACTTAATCCATCCTTCCTTTACATCCCCTTTGCCATTCGAAATAGGTACATATCAACCCAG